GAGGAACTGATCCCCTGACCCAGTCCAGACGATTATGATATCATCAATATACCTTTTCCAAAGGTGAATATGCTGGGTCAGGGGATTTTTTGGAGGGGATGTAAATACAATTTGTTCCTCCCACCAGCCCAGGTGCAGGTTAGCATATGAGGGTGCACACGATGTCCCCATAGCAGTCCCCTGCACCTGGTGGTAGTACACCCCATCGAATAGAAAGAAGTTGTGTGTTAACACAAAACTTAAGAGATTCAATACCAGATCTGTGTGCTTGTCAAATTGTGTCCCTCTCTTCCTCAAAAAATGCTCTGTGTGTTTGATACCTAGAAGATGTGGGATAGAGCTATACAAGGATTCCACATCCAAACTACAGAGTATAGAATTTTCCAGTAGTTGGATCTGGGTCAGAACTGAAAGCGTCTGCTTGGTGTCTCTCAAGTATGATGGAAGTTTAATTACCAAAGGTTTTAAGATATGATCCAAGTAGATGCTGACATTTTGGGTCATATTATCGTTCCCAGAGACAATCGGTCTACCCGTTAGGACACTATACTGTTTATGGATTTTGGGTAGACTATAGAAAGTGGAGATGCGAGGACTACCAATGACCATATAATTAAATTCATCCTTTGAGATTAATTTGTCATCTAGACCTTGTAATAGGATGTTTTTTAGTTTTTCAACAAATGTTTTTGTAGGATCTTGTTTTAAAATCTTATAAGTAGTCTGATCTTTAAGAATTCGTTTATTCATCTCCACATATTTTGGAGTATCCATGATGACAATATTTCCTCCTTTGTCTGAGGGTTTGATTGTTATTGCCTGATAGTCTTTTAAATCCTTCAAAGCCCTATATTCCATTGCCGTTAGATTGGAATTTGGTTCATAACTTGTCTCGCTCGGTGAGATTTTCTCAATCTCCTCGCATACCAGTTCTACAAAGGTTTCTACATATTTTGAATCACCTAGTTTGGGGCAAATATTTTACTTCTCCATTAGATCCTATGGGTCGACCCCAGGGTGTACAATAGTTTTGAGCAGTTGTTGTTGTCTAGAAAAATGTATGGCTAAACTGCTGGTAACCTGCTAGAGAAGATTGGTGGAAATAGCTTCCATGGGGAGACTTACATTTATGGTACAATGGGACTTAAATTAAACTTTCACAGTGGAGTAATGGGGGAGGACACTAGAGCATATGAAGCACACCTCACCATGTCTTGGACACTGGGACACAAACAGGAAACTGTTAATGCAATGGTATCTTGTTCCACAGCGTTTGGCGGCTATATATACCTCAGCAGACCCCCTCTGCTGATGGTGTGGACAGTCTATGGGTACATTTGTGCATGTCTTCCGGGCATGCCATCTTCTCACAATTTTGGAGTGACATACAATAAAAAATTTGTGAAACTCAATCCCTTAGAAAACACAATGAAGAGTGTGAATCAAGAGAGGGTAGAAAAGGCAGAAATAGTAACTGAAGCACATCAAGTGACGGTAGACGTACTAAACAGCGCTTTGGAAACCCAATCTGAAAGAATAAAAAATGAATTTAACCTTTCTCAGCAGAGTTTAAAAACGATCTACTCAACATAAATAAAAAAATGAAATGAAAACTCAGAAAAAATCAAAACTATGGAATATGACTCAATACAGTCCCAAAAGGAGATCTTTGGTTCTAAAAAGTAAATTTGGGGCGTGCACTTCATATCTGAGAGTCAAATAAAACCATCAAATACTGTGGTTACATCGCACTTTGAAAAATTCACATTTCTTTGGTGCTAAAAAGTAAATTTGGGGCGTGCACTTCATATCTGAGAGTCAAATATAACCGTCAAATACTGTGGTTACATCGCACTTTTAAAAATTCAAATTTTTTGGGTGTTAAAAAGTAAATTTGTGGCGTGCACTTCATATCTGAGAGTCAAATAGAACCGTCAAATACTGCTGTGACATTGCAGTTTGACCAATTCACATTTTTTTGGTGCTAAAAAGTACATTTGTGGCGTGCACTTCATATCTGAGAGTCAAATAGAACCGTCAAATACTGCTGTGACATTGCAGTTTGACCAATTCACATTTTTTTGGTGCTAAAAAGTAAATTTGGGGTGTGCACTTCATATCTGAGCAGGGCAGGACTTGCCCACCGGGATATCGGGAAATTTCCCGGTGGGCCGTTGGCACCTGGGGCCGGGCAGACACCTGGGTCTGCTGGTGGCCGCTGGCTGGGGGAGATCTGCTGGCGGCCGCCAGCTGGGGGAGTTCTGCCGGCAGCCGCTGGGGGAGCTGTCTCTGCTCCCCAGCACGCAGCTTAATGAGACCGGGGACGGAATATGATGTCATATTCCAGCACCGGTCTCATTAAGCTGCGTGCGAGGGCGGGGGAGCAGAGACAGAACAGCTCCCCCAGCGGCTGCCAGCAGACCTCCCCCAGCCAGCGGCCGCCAGCAGACCTCCCCCTGCGGCCGCCAGCAGACCTCCCCCTGCGACCACTAGCCCACCCAGCCCGTCACCCAGAGGTAATATGTGTAATTCTGTCAGTGTGAGTGTATGTGTGTGTCTGTCTGTCATGGTGTGTGTGTCTGTGTCATGGTGTGTGTATGTGTCATGGTATGTGTGTCTGTGTCATGGTGTGTCTGTGTCCTGGTGTGTGTGTCTGTGTCATGGTGTGTGTGTCTGTGTCCTGGTGTGTGTGTCTGTGTCATGGTGTGTGTGTCTGTGTCATGGTGTGTGTGTCTGTGTCATGGTGTGTGTGTGTCTGTTTCATGGTGTTTCTGTGTCTGTGTCATGGTATGTGTCTGTGTCATGGTGTATGTGTGTGTCTCTGTGTTTTTAAAAAGTGGTTTTTACTCACCTTTTTTTTTCTCCCCACGCCGTGCTGGTCTCCCCTCGACTGGCCCAAGCTTGATGATCTCAGACAATCCAATGCTCTGCAATAGGATTGGCTGCAAAGGCCCTGAATGTAGGTGCTGCATACTGTGCAATCACACTGTGCAGCACTGACACAGGAAGCACCTCTAGTGACTGAGTGACTGTCACTAGAGGTGTCACTAGGAAGTAATGTAAACACTGCATGTGAGTATGCTTAATGTATAATTAAATGTTTTACTCTGAAAGGACCAATATTATATATTAGAAAAAGCAATATATATATATATACATATATATGCTGGGTCAGGGGATTTTTTGGGGTAGCAAGACATTGCCTTACATATTAGATACGGCAATATATGGCACAATGACTTATGGGGCTGGCATAGATTTTTTTTCCAGGACTGCTTTGTATCCCCAGTCCGGCCCTGTATCTGAGAGTCAAATAGAACCGTCAAATACTGTGGTTACATTGCACTTTTAAAAATTCAAATTTTTTTGGTGCTAAAAAGTAAATTTGTGGCGTGCACTTCATATCTGAAAGTCGAATAGAACCGTCAAATACTGCTGTGACATTGCAGTTTGACTAATTCACATTTTTTTGGTGCTAAAAAGTACATTTGTGGCGTGCACTTCATATCTGAGAGTCAAATAGAACCGTCAAATACTGTGGTTACATCGCAGTTTGAAAAATTCTAATTTTTTTGGTGCCAAAAAGTAAATTTGCGGCGTACACTTCATATCTGAAAGTAGAATAGAACCGTCAAATACTGCTGTGACATTGCAGTTTGACAAATTAAAAAAATTTTGATGCTAAAAGGGAAATTTGTTGCGTCGACTTCATATCTGAGAGTCAAATAGAACCGTCAAATACTGTGGTTACATCGCAGTTTGAAAAATTCAAATTTTTTGGTGCTAAATAGTATATTTGCTGCCTGCGGTGCACTTCATAACCGAGAGTCAAATAGAACCGTCAAATACTGTGGTTACATCGCACTTTGAACAATTCACGTTTTTTTTGGTGCTAAATAGTACATTTGCGGCCAGCGGTGCATTTCTTGCAGTCCAATAAAACCCTTAAATACTACTGTTACATTGTTGGTTTAAAAAATCACACTTTTTTGTGCTAAATAGAACATTTGTGGCCTGCGATGTATTTCTTGCAGTCCAATAAAAATAAAAATAATCACTGGAGAGAAAGAGGAAGTACCCCCTTACCCACCCACGATCCCTGGCCCTGAATGCCAGCATTTCAAAATTCCTGGCCGTTGAAATGCTGTGATTACGACAGTTTTAAAAACCTGATGGTGGTGGCTGTCCCACAGTACGTGGTTCCCAGCCGCCACTACTTTTCCAGGCGGGCCATCCCTTCCCTGCACAACCAATTGGCGGACAAAATCAGGTGTGCACTGCGCAACGCCATCTGTGGCAAGGTCCACATAACCACTGATACTTGGACCAGTAAGCACGGGCAGGGACGCTATATGTTCCGAACTGCACACTGGGCAAATGTAGTGATGGCTGGGCCTGAGGCGGATAGCAGTTTGGCGCATGTCCTTCTGCCACCGAGTATTGCAGGGCATTTCTCTTTGCCTCCTGTTGCCTCCTCCTCTTACTCCGCTTCCTCCTCCTCTGCCACCTCCTCATCCGATCAGCGTAACACCTTCACCACCAACTTCAGCACAGCCAGGGGGAAATGACAGCAGGCTGTTTTAAAACTCATATGTTTGGGGGGAAAAACCCACACCACGCAGGAGCTGTGGACGGGCATGGAACAACAGATCGATGAGTGGTTGTTGCCACTGAGCCTCAAGCCCGGCCTGGTGGTGTGCGATGGGCGAAATCTCGTAGCAGCTCTGAGCCTAGCCAGTTTGACACACATTCCTTGCCTGGCACATGTGCTGAATTTGGTGGTGCAGAAATGCCTGAAAAACTACCCAGATATATCAAAGCTGCTGCAGAAAGTGAGGGCCGTCTGTGCGCACTTTCGGCGTTCTCACCCTGCTGTTGCTTGCCTGTCTGCACTGCAGCGTAACTTCGGCCTTCCCGCTCACCGCCTCATATGCGATGTGCCCACAAGGTGGAACTCTACCTTGCACATGTTGGAGAGACTGTGAGCAGCAGCAGGCAATAGTGGAGTTTCAGCTGCAGCAGACTTGCCATCCAATAGATCCTTGTTAAAGGATTTAAAGTGTACTCATTCCAATTACAGGGCCTCGAAAGAGTTCGGCATTGTTATTTATCGTCACTACCTCCCAGCGTCGGGAAAGGGTAATTTGTGCACCTGCTGCCTTCCTTGAATGCAGTAGCCGTTTCTCAGGCTCCCTCTCCGGAATCGAACCCTGATTCCCCGTTACCCGTGGTCACCATGGTAGGTGCAAAAAGAACAATCAAAAGTTGATAGGACAGACATCCGAATGCATCGTCGCCGTCACGGGGACGTGAGATCGGTCCGAGGTTATCTAGAGTCACCAAAGGGCCTGCGTAATGACTGCCGAGTTGCCCTCATTCTAACTTGTGCTTATTACTGGGTGGCCAGCCTGCTGGATCCCCGTTACTAGGACAACGTGCCATCCTTAATTCCCTCACTGGAGCGTGATCGGAAGATGCGCGACTACAAGCGTGATGAGGGCATTCCCAACTGACACCGGGGGCTCAGTGGAAGCACAAGGCGAAGGCAGAGGAGGAGGAAGAGGTCGCCAACGCAGCTGGGGCACCGCCAGCACCTCAGAAGGCAGGGTTGGCATGGCTGAAATGTGGAAAAGCTTTGTCAGCGCGCCACAACAACCAGCACCACCAGCTGATATGGAACGTCTTAGCAGGAGGCAGCATTTCCAACATGGTGGAACAGTACGTGTACACACGCCTACACGTACTGGCTGATGGATCTACCCCATTCAACTTCTGGGTCTCCAAATTGGGCACATGGCCTGAGCTTGCCCTTTGTGCCCTGCAGCCAGTGTATTGTCTGAACGTGTGTTTAGCACGGCAGGGGGCGTTATCACAGACAAGCACAGCCGCCTGTCCACAGCCAACGTGGACAAGCTCACGTTTATTAATATGAACCAGGCATGGATCCCACCAGACTTGTCTGTACCTTGTGCAGAATAGACATTTATACCGGCCTCACCCAGCCATTGTTATACTCAAGTGCACTTATTCTTTGTTTTCTTTTTTTATATGTCCCAATATTTTGGGGGCTACCCAAATTGTTTGCAGGGCACTTGTCCTACTCTTACCCCCATTTTACTTCCCTTTGCAGCCCCCTAGCCCTTTCCAGGACTTTAGAGCCATTTTAGTGCCCAAAAGTTCGGGTCCCCATTGACTTCAATGGGGTTCGTGTTCGGGGTCAAGTTCGGGTCAAGTTCGGGTCAAGTTCAAGACCCGGCGAACCGGAACATCCAGGTGTCCGCTCATCTCTACACCTGGCTAGAAATACCCCCAGAGCTGTTACGATATGCTGTATGTCCTTTCAAATTAAAACAGCCATAATGTCTTCAATCAATCAGAGAAGGTAAAATTCAAGACCCTTATGAAAAAATAACCGCGTTTCCAGATCTATCCTCATATACAAGATCTAAAAGAAGATCCTTTGCTAAATATACAGAAGCTTTAAGAGCTAATAAAATCCAATATAGATGGGGATTCCCAGTAAGACTTCTACTTTATAAAGACTCTAAGACACATAGAATAGAATCTCCAGAAAAACTAAAATCATGGCTGCAAGAGAGACATCTAATTTCTGAAGCCGAATGAAATAATTAATGAACTGGAGGGAGAGAGGAGAACTGAAGAGGAAACACAAAAATGTGATCATTCTTAAATACCCTTATATTTAATTTATATGGTTTCTTTAATGGGAAGGAAGAGATAGGAAAAATATATATATTTTTTTTTCTTTCTACCATTTCTCAGAGTGGACTTCAATTCACGGGAGTGAAATAGATACAAAAGCGTCAAGAAGTTTTATGTCACGAAAATAAAAGCCAAAAATTATTTTCACTAATCACAAGAGTAAAATGAAAGGGGAAAAAATAAGTAACACAAAAAGTAAAAGGTCACATAACGTAAGAAACCTCTTATGCTGTCACACCTTGGAAATGACGCCAACTTATGGGAGTAAGAATATGAAATAGATACAAAAGCGTTAAGAAGTTTTATGCCACAAAAAAAGACTTTAAGTCAAAAATAATATTCATAAAGTACAAGAGTAACAAGTAAGGTGAAAAAATAAGTAACACAAAATGTAAAGGGTCATGTAAAGTAAGACACTTCTTATGATGATAAAACAAGTAGAATATTTACATAGAAACATAGAAACATAGAATGTGACGGCAGATTTGACGGTGTTTTATTTATTAATTTATATATTTTTGTTAAGAGGTTGGGTGGTGTAAACTATATGAAACTATATGAAAACTATGATGCTTCTGCAGTTAAATCTGCTATCTGAAGAAGCTGACATAGGCTTATTACATTGGCGTTCCTATACACAATAGGTCGCTAATGGTAGAAGAAGTCTATGAAGACAAAGTATAGGAAAGGACATAATTTCTATGCCTTCTATGCCTTTTTTTCCCTTCTCTCTCTCTTTTTCCTACAAAACATAAACGAAAATGAATCCCTCCATGGGACCTTTTTTACCCATGGCACCATGATCCGATATTCGGATTTGCCACCTGGGTGGTGAAAATTTATATTTTTGCTTATGGGGAAGCACAGGAAAGGGATGTTGGTACTTTTTAAGTATCCGTTAACAGAGATTATCTCTGCGATAGTTTTTATTACCTATAAATGTTTGTTTAATGTAATTAATGTTTTTCTGTATTAGTTTAAATTTCTCTTGATGTTAGACTATATGAGGAGAGGTGTGGGCTGGACCCAAGATAATGGTTAAGTTTGCAACTCTGAATGTGCAGGGATTAGATTCCCCACACAAAAGATCTATTCTCCTCCAATTATTAAAAAAACAGCGAATAGACATGTGTACTATACAAGAGACCCTCTGGAGGAGTCTAGACAAGTTTTTAACAACTCTAGAGACTTCCCTATGGTCACTTCTCCCTCATTGCCAGATAGGAGAAAACATGGTGTAGCATTTCTCTTTTCTCGCAATATAGATTGTATAAAATACTCCGAACAGGATTTTGGGAAAGACTGAATAAGATAAAACGGGGAAATACTATATGAAATGGGAGATTTCAATTGTGTAATGGACCCAAAAATTGGAAAGTGCACAGGCAAGCATCAAAATTCAGTTCCTTTGCCCAGGGGAATTCATTATATGACACCTGGCGTATATTCCATACAAACTAGCGTGACTTTACATGTTATTCCAAAGCACATACTGCTAACTTGAGAATCGACTATATTCTAATAGATCTAAATATCATTCAAAGAGTCAATAAAATTGACATATGCGAGATAACATGGTCAGACCATAATATAGTCATTGTGGAACTGAAGGATAACTTTATTAAAAAACAAGCAGAATGGAAACTCAAGGAGTTCCTACTGGAATCTTCACAAAATAGAGAATACATAAAAAAACATAAACCTTTACTTCCAAGAAAATACCTTTAATAATCTATCCCCAGCTACGGTTTGGGCAGCCTTTAAGTGTGTGATCCGGGGCCATTTTATTAAATTAGCTTCACAAAATAAGGAACATAGAGAAAAAAATCTCTTAGATCTCTATATCAAATTAGAGAATTTAATACGTAGTAATAAAATTAACACTTCTAAGAACATCTCAGACCAGATTGACGATCTAAAAAAAGTATTAATGAAAGAACAATCAATGAAACCTCTAAGAAATTGGAAAGATTGAAATCTTTCCAATACTATAAGGGTAATAAAGCAGACAAGATGTTAACTAACCAGCAGCAGAGTGAGTTTCAGAGAGAGAAGGCAACCGGTCTCTCTCCCCAGCGGCAGTGTATCTTACATGGAGTGGAGATAATTGGTTCCTCCCCAGCGGCAGTGCACATTGCAGGGAGAAGAGGCAACCGGTCTTTCTCCCCAGCGGCAGAGTGAGTTTCAGGGAGTCTCTCTCCCCAGCAGGAAACAGAGTCACAGGGAGAGGAGACAACCGGTCTATCTCCCCAGCAGCAGTGTGCAGTATAGGGAGTGCTGGACAACTTGTCACACTCCCCAGCGGCAGGGTGAGTTACAGGGAGGGGAGACAACTGGTCTCTCTCCCCAGCGGCAGTATACCTTGCAGGGAGACTGGGCAACCGGTCTCTCTCCCCAGCGGCAGTGTATCCTACAGGGAGTGGAGACAACCGGTCTCCCTCCCCAGCATGAGTGTGCATTACAGGGTAAGGAGCATATCGCTCTCACTCCCCAGCGGCAGTGTACCTTGCAAGGAGAGGAGACAACTGGTCTCTCCCTCCAACCACAAGTATGGTCCCATAGCTCTTATAAGAGCTTCACAGCTATACTCTTCTGGAAGAGAGGCCCTCCCACTGAGTCCCTGGAAGCATCGATTGGCGGAGGTACCCAGTCAGGGTTCCAGGTGGTCTGTCACTGGAGAGAATTACAGTTATCGATGTAAGAGATTACTAGAGCGTGAACAAGCTCCTTGGCAGCATCTTGCGTAAGAAAGGGATGTTTTTAAGTTAGAATCGACAGGTTTTAGCAACAGACTGGACATGAGGCGCAAAGATGAGGCCGCAATCAAAAGTGACACCAAGACAGTGAGCTTGAAAGGATGGGGTGAGGCAGGTAGAGTCAAGAGAAGTGAAGGAGGAGGATCAGTGTTATGAGGAGGAAAAATAAGAAACTTAGTTTTATAGAGATTGAGCTTCAGAAAGCGGGAGGACATCCAATAAGAGATAGAAGAAAGGCAATTGGTAACACATTGTAGGATAGCAGGGGAGAGGTCGGTGGAGGAGAGATATATCTGGGTGTCGTCAGCGTACAGATGGTAGTGGAATCAAAATGAATGAATGAGTTTGCCAAGAGAGGCAGTATAGAGAAAGAACAAAAGGGGACCAAAAATGTAACCTTGAGGGACTCTGACTGAGACAGGATGAGGAGAGAAGGTGCTGTTGGAAAAAGAGACACTAAAGGAGTGTTGGGAGAGATAGAAGGAGAGCCATGAGAGGACTGTGTCACAGAGACCAAGAGATTGTAGAGTTAGGAGAAGGAGGCCATGATCAACAGTGACAAGGCAGCAAAGAGGTCAAGAAGAATTGGTATGGAGTAGTGGCCTTTGGATTTGGCTGTGATTAGGTCATTTGTAACTTTAATAAATACAATATATCACTGTGTACACCCTACTCAGTGCAAATGTAAAAAGCAGATAATATCACCATATGATGAACTGTAATAGAATGGTGCCTAAAATATAAAAATAAAAGACAACATAGTGTGAACTGTATAATATAACGAAGTGGTGAACAGATATTGCACTAGCACTCACATTCTCCTGAGCTGTACCAGGCTCTGTACAATACAGATGTACAATACAGGTGCCAATACAGGCTAGCGATCCCACTGACGTTAGTAGAAGATGGTGATGAGACTCCAGATAGCTTATAAAGAAAATTTATTTTAGGTGTTAAAAAACAACAACACCTCAAGGTACTATGGGTGTGGAACCGAGCATATAAATACAATATCATA